TGAAATGCAATGAAATAAGCTTCTCAGGGACAAGCTGCAGCTTGGAAACATGTAGAGATTTCAGTGCCGTAGAGGAAGAATGCTTTGTAGGTGGGATTTTGGTGGACAAGTGAATGAGACACATCCCCTTAAGTCTCTCAAACTCTTCTGCCTACCATTTCTCAACATGCAAAATTAAGCATAAAAAATTATACAGGATTTCAGTATGTCTTTAAGAAACACAGAGTATAGAAAAATTAAGGAAATATTCAGCCATGTTTTCTGTGAATACTTTGAAATAGCAGGATCACAAAATACAACACCATTATGAGGTGAGGTTTTTTATCTTTGAATTTAATTGAGGGCATTTAATTCATAACACAGTCATCTGTACAGAATTAAGCTTCAAATTAACAGAGGTTTAGTAGTTTTAAATGATTCTTTAAAGGAAATTAGCAATGAAGACACAAACCTTTCCGAGGTGAATCACCAGGGAGATACAAAGTGAGGCATTTAATCTCAGGTCACAATGAGACAGTTCCCCAAGAGAACCAGTTACATCTCTCAAAAAGAGACAAAGAACATGATGTATATATGTGTGTGTGTGTGTGTTGTTTTTTTTTTTTCCCTTAGAAAGCATTCCTGCAGCCTCCAAAAAAGCCCATGCCAGACTTGGAGAAATGTGTTTTCCATTCCTGTTTAGTTCCTCCAATGTTTTAAAACCCTGGCAAAAACATTAATTACCTCACCATAACTGTTTCACAGACCGTAATTTGGGTATACAACATTGATCACAGAGAGGACTGGACAAAGCCTAAATGGCAGAATTTATCTTCTTAACTTCCTAAAAGTAGTCTGGGAAACTCAGCCATAATTTGCTCAGGTTCTCAATGCTTAAACCTTCAAGATGAAGGTTCCCCTAAACCTGTAAAAAAAGTGTCCTAGGTACTGAAACATACCATGTCTTTGCTGAACCACCTGTGTACTCATTTCCTGCCTAAGACTGCCTGAGGTACTCATGCTTCTTTCTCTGCAGAGCCCAGTATGGTGGCAATACCTTTGTTTCCAGGCATTGCTCCCAGCACCAGGCTGCTCAATAAAGAGCAGCCATCATCATCCTCTCATTTCAGTGAAAGAGTGATGTGACATCCTCGGATCAGGATGGGGTGTCATTGAGTCAGGCTGCCCAGCTGAAGCAAGAGGGCATGTCTATCACCATGTCCTTGGCATTTGTTACCAGCTGGGGTAGGTGTCTTGGCACTCGATGCGTTGGTTGCTGTGAACCTGTGGCCCTCATGCATGATGGGCTTAAATCAAACTGCAGCCCAGTGACAGTCTCTGATGATAAGCAAATAGCAGAAGAGCATTAGAGACCAAATCAATCCATCAGGGTGATCATTTTCGGGTTGTGATGAAGGCATATCAGTGCAGCAGGGCAGGAGCACCACTGCCAGTGCTGCTTGCACTGCGCATGGTCTGTGAGTGAACTTAAGGCCTCTGTTCCCTGGGCTGTCAGTGCAGGGCCTTTCACAAACACTAACTTCACATAAAAATGCTGTAAAGTTTTATTAGGGAAAAAAACACCCTCTAAACTGTTGGCTCAATTCTCCACTGAAGGGAACCTTTCTGCTTGAGCAGTCAAAAGCACTCACCGCCAGACAAAAGTACATTGGAAGAGTTTAACAGAAACTGGCACTGAACTAAACAGTAACTTCCACACGCCAAGTGTCACTAGTTCCTACCTTTTATTATAAATCAGGTGTGCCCATGTATTTTCAAAACTGAAAACAACAGTCAGTGAGTTATGCCTGAGTTCATGATCAACTCTCACACAGCCAATTCTTTATATAGCACCATATATTATGTGAAACGGCTCTCAAGAGCTTAGCAAATTAAACTAAGCGTTGTTACATTGCTCCAAATGCTCTCAGCATGGTTCTTTTCTTTTTTTTTTTCCAGAGAAATAACATGGGATTTTAACTATTATAGCTTGAGATAAAATGAGAAGAACAGCACTTACTCTTTTCTTCTCCACATTTTCTATTACCACAGAACAGATAATGCATCAGCAGAATGCCATAAGAAACATTTCCAAAGATACATAAGTGCCTCTGGAGCCTTAGCTTGTTGGGCTTTAATGGTTAACTCCACAAATGTAATCATGGCCTAAACACATACAAAGATAGATAGATAGACAGACAAACAGGTAGATAAAGGCATTTAAGAGCCTAAGAATCTAATTTGAACTGATTTTCTGCTGAAAATCCCAGACAAACAGTACCAAAATAAAGTGAACATCCTATGCATTTTTGATAAATCAAAATAAAGAGCTTAAATGCACTTTCACACTATGTATCATTAAGAAGTTGCCTCCATGAGTTAGATTCAAGAGGAGAATCTAGGCATCTCAATGCCACTATAGGCACCCAAATCACAAATTCAGATCCTCAGAGCCTTCTCAAGTTTCCACAAGTGAAATCTCCCAGGAGACCAAGTTCTGCACTAGGAATGAGCAGAAGTGTTCAGGTCCTGAACGCACTTGGGAACGCAGTGTTTTTCCCAAACTTCAACCAACCAACATTCCCAAACAAGTCTTTCTACCACCTGCCTGATCTTCAGGAGCTGTCATGTTAGATGTACCTCAAGCACGTCTAATCTTGGGCAAATCGCAGCCAAGTGGAGAAGACATCCATTCCTTGCTCATCCCAGTCACTAGTAGAAGTATTTCCGTGGGATGCAGGATCAAATTCCCCTTGAACGGTTCTCCACGTGGGTGTCTTCACTATTAAACTGCAGGTTGTCAAAACTGTTGTTTTTTAGAAGGAAACCTCACGCTTCGTACACACTGATGGATTTACAGCATTGCAGAGAAGGGGGTCACTCTCTCTCCAAGCTAACTTTGGTGGAGAGGTGAGAGGAAATTCAGTAAGGGACAAGGCAGAATACTCAGCTGACAGTATGAGATGTGTACTCACGACCCCAGTACTCCTCATTATTTCTTCCCATGGGCAATCTATGTATTTCTCATCTGTCCCCTGCTCTCTCAGATCACTGAGTGTGCAATCAGAGATGTGAGTCCAGTGTGTGACAAGACCTCTGGAAGTTGTATGCTGCCTTGCAGAGCCTCTTTTGTCACCCTAAGCTGAGCTGTTTAAGGAACTCTCTAGTTTTAGAGCACCTAACAGCCACTTATTTGATTTTCAGCTAGTTGATTAAATTTATCACTTTCAATGAATGGGGCTCACATGTCCACATAACTTCAGAGACACAGCTGATTTTGAAACTGTGGGTTAGGGTCCTATATCATTAAGATACCTTATGAAATTTTATCAAATATGATATTCCTCAATATTTGCAAAAGACTGAAGCAGCTAGAGATTAAAAAAAATGGTCCTCATTAAAATGCTGTGAGAGATCACTCTGCTCCTGCACCAAAAACTGTAAAATAGATTATGTAACATAAGGACAAACTATAATTGGATGAAGTGAGACTAAAAAATTGCAGGTTTGTGTTCTCCCTAATATTAATTCTCTGCCAAAGCACTTCATTAAATCTCAGTTACAGGTCAGAGTTGCACCATGAAATAGTAGGATATGTTAAATAATTATGTAGTAAGCATGGGTCTATATTGCCTCACTTCACTTCATGAAAAAAGTAAATGTGATTTTGTGAGGCAAAAATTCCATATCCACCAGACATTTATAGATCAGGCGAAGGAAATACATTTGGTTGAAGGATCCCCTGGTGTTCTTCCTCCATAAAGTATTTTCTCAGGTTACCTATGAAATCAGTGAAGCAGTGGCACAGCTGTTACTAAAACATGCAGCTAAAAATTTTTAAATGAAGGAAAACGCATGCTTTGTTTCTTCACAGCCTAGATTAAAAACATTCGATAATTCTTTTGTGTTTTCAGTAATTTGACCAGGAAGAATCAGTTGAGCAGTGTAAAGTAATGGGAAAGCAGGGAATATGTGAGTCTGTAAGGCCAAGTGCTGTACCTAATTCTTCCCCAATGCATGGGAACAGCTAACGCAGAGGAAGTGCAGTCATACCATGCAATATACTCCTTCAATATAAGGAAGACTAAGATACTGGGCCCAAACCTGTGTTCTTAACAGAGCAAAGCTTCCCAAGTCAGGGGCATTTTTGGTTTCCTCTTTGGCCTGTTTGAGTCTGTTGAGTTCTACCTGTCTTGGCAAGACATTCTCCACAGCATTCAGAGCTGTTTTGTTTTTTTCAAAGTGCAAACTTTGTTGTGTTTTTTTTTTTTTTTCATTAAACAGTTCTGAAGTTCAAACCGCACTATCATATGGAATTTATGACAATGCTTTTTCAAATTTAATTTAGTAAAATTAAATTGGTGGTATTATTTAGAGATGGTTTCATTCAGCCTTTCTGCTACTGAGTGCTCAGACTGGATAATTGGCTACCTTATACATGCATAGTCGTAAGTGAAGCTTAAAACGTGGTCCTTTACCCTAAGCATAATTTGGAGGAAAAAGCATCCTAGACAGATGTCTACTCCATGGTTTATAAGAGTATGTGATACCATCCGCACTTTTCACAGCTAAACCCTTGAAAACTGGGAGATTGACAAAGGGACCCAAACGTGAAGAGCATTCATTAAAAGATGTAAATAGCCAAGATCCGTGCTGTTTTGTTTCAATCTTCTTTATCCTGTTGAAAACAGGAAAGCCTCCTGTCATGCAGGCTCAGGGATTTTCAGGGCCCAATAAAGGTTAGTGACATTTTCAATTCATGTTTGTTTTCATTCTTCTAATCATGAACCCTGTGTCAGCCTGAGAAACCAGCTGAGCTTAATCCATAACCTTTTACAAGTGAAACATTAACTCACAGCATGTTCTGTTGTCTTTTTAAAGCAATACAAAAGCAAAGGGAGAAAAAAAAAAGAGCCACAATATACATGATAAAACATAGCAGCAGCCAAATGTGAAGGTTACTTGAAAGCAGTTACACTTGTGGAAAACAGCATATTTTTTAGGTCATTAAATTCATCATGTTCAGATGTCATAACCACTGTTTATTTCACAGGAGGATTCAGGACTGTCACCATCAGAAGGTGGAAGGCAAAAATGTAGAAATAACCAATGAAACACAAGGCAGGAATTTTATCCCATGTCTTCATATATTACACAAATATTCTGATGCATTTTCATAACATAATTTTTGGTTGGTAATAACCATGGAGATAATATTTGACTAGTTTCTTCTCTTTCTTTCTACAGTTTAACTGTTCCCACTGATTTCCCCTCCAAGTTTCATTCAGCTGTGTGGACAGTGCTTTAGGTTTTTATGGCAATACCGTCTGGATTTTATACAAGGCAGACTGCTAGCCACATATGGCAACCCTCCTGCCCCACAGAGAGTGTGCAATGACGCACACAGAGCAAGCCTAGAGGGAAGAACAGGTCTGACTACAAAGCATACATACCCAAGGAAGGATAATTATTTCTCAAGCCTGTAAAAACCATTATGGAGAAATCCTGACCTCTCATATCTCTGTTGGATAACAAATACAATCGCACATGTATTAAGGAGGGTCTCAAGTCACAAACTTTTACTACCAAGAACAAGAAACCATGTTAGTTCTTAGAGAAAAATAAAGAAAGAGCAATCAGGAGCTATACAAAAACAAAACAGTGAGGCAGAAATTAAAGGGTTTCTGATTTCATGGAGACAAACATACTAAGGATGACAAGGGAAACCTAAAAAAAAAAAAAAAAAGCAGAATGTTGTTTGAATTAATGTATATGCTGCAGAGTGTTCCTGTGAAAAACAAAATTGGGATTAATGCAAAACTTAAACACTGGCTTGATGAACTATTACTCAAATATCTGAGGTTTTAAGGAGCACAAGCATGAGCTTACTCATCGTTAAAGAAGGTACATATATAAGTGACCCAGCATTGGAAATGCTTCAGCCAGAAGTTTTCCGTGATTAGACTTTAGAGAACACAATGAGAGGTAAAACTTCACGGAGCTGTGTACTCTCTAGTTCCTAGTGGGGGATAAGCACAGGTTGCATTATTTTCCTGAGAGATGACATTCATAGGAATAATTTTCCTTACCTGACCTCCTGTTTAGCTAGCACCTTTGGGATCTCTATTTCTATGTGATTGGGTTAGAAAAATAGGCTAAAAGTTATGCAGGAGAGGGAAGGATAAAAAGGGAGAGAAGACATAACTAAGAGGTAGGAAGACAGAAGTATACACAAACGCATGCAGTAGAACGGTGTAAGGACTATTTCCTTAGAAAACCAGGCTGAAAATACCCAGAGTGAGCTAGAGAAAGCTGATGTAGGGAACCAAAAAAAGGAAGGCTGAACTGTCCCAGGTGTTGCTCCACTGATTCTGCACCAAGACATGATGCTGTTTCCCTACCCAGGCTGGCTGTCCATGACATTTTGACAGTGCTTCTGAGCCTGCTGGCCAGCACTGCTTCGAGATCTCCTTGTCTACCTCAAGCCTATGAAAAATTAAGAAGCTGAAGCTAAGACTAATGGAGAGAGCAAAATATTACATTACCTGCTGCATGTTGCTCTCTTGCGCAGCAAAAGCTTTGTCATGGAGTGCAGGACCCACTGCCTGCAAGCAGGTCAGCAGGGACAGAAGTCACAGTATCTGCAAAATGCTTTTCCTTCTGGTTTGTCAGCTAGGGTTACTGGTTTTACTGGAAGTCACACTGCCACAGCCCATCCTTGACTCCTGAAGTAGAGCACAGGGAGAGACCAGAGCTCCAAGTCTTACTTAATTCTCTAGCCCGCTCCTGGGGCAACATAGCTACTTAGCCAGGGCAGAGTGTAGCATTACAATCAAGCTCAGAATGAATAAAAGGGGCTCGGGAGGATTAAAAAGGCTTTTATGGCTAGGGAAGTAACTACTAAAGAGAAAGAAAGTCCATTAACAGATGAGGGGATGAAATTAATGGCAACTCAAAAATGGGTGAGAAAATAGCCTTGCTAAATGAAAAGTAGAAGGAACAATAAGGAGCTAGAAGGTCCACTGAAAATAACCATTGGTTATCACATCTAAGACTCCACGTTAAATATTTCATTTATCCTCATGTATTAAGAGAATTAGCTAACAAATTTATTCAATCACTGCTCACTATAACTTCGGTAAGTACATCTACATATTCATGCATGACTCATACCGATGTCATATCAAAGTTTCCAGGTGCTTTCTTAGATGGTATCTTTGTGGCCTTGCCCATCATCTACCCATCATCTGTCTGATCTTTAAGTTGTCTAGCCTCCCCTGTGTTATTCCACTGCTAGTGCTCCTGAAATTGCTTTCCTGATTTTTTTTTCTATCCATGTACAACTGTAAGTAAGATTGTCAGCTTTTTTTTCTTTTTCATAGAAATATTTTATCCATAAATAAATAGAAATATTTTATCTTTACTACTTATGTCAGTGTATGTGCTTGTTGAATCTCTGCATCTTAAGCATGTGAGGTGGAAAGTCAAATGTCAAATGCTTTCTAAATAATATATAAACTGTGCAATTAGTAGGCAATTGTGGTTTTTAGGTGATGTGGTTTCAGCACTGTGGATGTATCACCCTTCTCAGACTCAAGCTTTCTGTAGGATGCTGATATTTCTAGTTTTTGCTTCCTTTGATCCTGTGTTACAAGGAAATTAATTTTATTTGGAAGTGGTATCAATGAGATAACTCTTATGTCCACTTTCTCTGATACAAATAGAAGAAGTCGACACATTCAGTTGTATGGTCAGTTTCTAAACATTCATACACAATTGCAGGTTTTCTACAAGATGAATATGGCAGCTGCCAGTCAAATTTTGCAGTTTTGCCGAGGCATCATCTTCCTGTAGTGATTTTCCAAGCTGCATTTTCAGATTAGCATGCAACACATCCCTAGTAAAACTGATGGCCCAGATGTTTTTCTGTGTTTCTGCCATCCCATATTGTGAGTAGGTCTTTTAAATGGCATCTGGTCATTCCACACAGATGTTCAATTGTAGTAGTTTCTAAAGAAAAGAAAGAAAAAAGGGAAAAAGGGAAAATATATATATATATATATATATATATATATATAAAGAAAATAAAAGAGGAAAAAAGAAAAGCCCCGACAGACACCTGGGCAAATTTACATGGACTTCTCAAGCCACCGTTTCTCACTTACCACATCTCTGCTGTCACTGAGAAGCATGCTGGAGCTAGCAAGAGTGGTATATCTGTACTACGTGATATTCACTGCCTCACTCTCTATTTGCCAAATCCAAATTACACTAATTCAAAATCCCTCTGTACCTGTCCCCTGGGAACACAGCCACATGTTTCAGGCTGTGCTTCAGGCAGGACCTGAGCCCAAAGTCATGAGGCGCTCTCACTAGTCAGCACAAGGTGGGGGTCGGAGCCGATGGGTATCCTTGATCTTTAGCATACCATTTATTTCATTACATCTAATTTGGTTGATATTATCAACATTATTACACTGATAGTTGTTTCAACTCAGACTAATTTAATTGATAGAATTCTCTGTCCTTGCTATTATATGAGACAATTAGCTCTCATTAGTTCACATTTCACTCATTTTCCACTGACTGATTGCACTACAGACTGATACTTGCTAATATCAATATGTAATGCAATCAGTCAGAGGAAGTGTTGGTACAGTATCTCTAAAAACTATCACACTTATCATTCTGATTGTCTTCGAAGTACCAATATTTTCCTATAACTTAATGGTTTCATAATGTAATATTTTGTATTAATAACAATCTCTTTAAGGTCACACAGTTAATCACATATGGATTAAACAGCAGTTAACTAATGAGGACAGCAACTTATTAATAAATTGCAGATGATACATTTCCGTTACTCAGTGTAACCTTTAAAGAGCAGAGCTAAGACTGAGGGCTGACTTAAAGACTTTTTGCCTCCCTTTTCCTATCTCTTCTTGAGGTTTTTTTTCATGAATTCTAAGCTTTTTTTGTAAGCTATTGTCACAGTCCTGCTGTAACCATATGGGGAGCTTTAGCAAAGCAAGAACATGCAGCTGATGCTTTGATAGAAAAGGTGAAGAGGTTACTTGAATTGTACTACAGTTAATTTGTCCTTTAAGCACCTACAGCGGGGAGTCTATAATGGTAAGAACTGAAGCACAGAGATTTGTCTATCAGATTATTACGTCAGAAATGCTAAAGATTCAAAGGAAAGAAAAGGGCAAAAGGCTTTTTGTATCCAATTTAATATAATCCACTGAGCTTTCACCAAGGCCCATCCGTAAATGCACCAGCAGTTTACTCAGAAAATTGCATGCCTAAATTTCTCTTCTTAAACATTTGTATACCACTACTCACTGGCATGAATTTGTAGTTGTGTTTATAAACAATAAACTTCCAGTCCTTACATTTTCATGAAGCATGAAATCCCTCAACATGCCAATATAGTACAGATCACTCTGTGAAAAATAATAGTCAAACACTCTCCAATGTGCTATTTGTTAAATCTCAGCTATTCAATAGCAAACACATTTAATCACCTCTACAGTTAGTCTGAAACAGGCTCATAATCTTTAGAAGGAAACAACCGATGTGGGAAATATAAAAAAGCATAAAATACATGGTTTGTAGTTTAGGACTTTAAAAATTCCCAACAATCATATTTTAAAGAGTAAATCCAAATTAGTCTTAAAGAGTAAATCCAAATTAGTCTTGCTATGCTAAATTTGATGCTGAATAATGACAGAGGACATTTAAATACCATAGTTACTATAATAATCCCTGTTTGAATCATGGCTTCCATGAACTGGGCTAAGCCTTCAGACAGAAACTAATTGCTACAAACACTAATTTTCAAATCCCTTTTGTTTCCTATTGCAGGCACCTCTGGATGCAGAAGGTACCCAATTAGTAGAATTCATGGTTCTGATTGTGCATTGTGGGGCTAGTATAAACACTGCTGATTACTATTCCACTGTAATGGTTGATTTTTATTTATTTTTTTTTCTGATTGCTTAATAGGGCCATCTATTCTGCATCAGGCACTGGCAAGGCTGCTGGTGAAATCAGTTAGGTCACTTTTTCTGGTCATAGTAGCAGGAGGAGCCTTGTGATGGTAACAGATGACTAAAGGCGTAATTATAGGCTATTTAACCACATCTGTTTCCCCACTTAACATTGTTTGCTCAAGTTAGATGTAGTTAAATAAATCAAAAGGAAAATAATGGTGAAGACACTAAAAAATTACTATTACATGGGTAAAACTCTAGGGTTTGTTATAATTACAGAAAACAGAGTTTACAGTGATTTTTAAAAGGCACTAATTTATATTAGAGAGTTTCTATACACATACACTCTGGCTGGTTGCTGCTGATTTTATAGCCTATGTTATTTAAATACCTATTTGTACAGAAAAATTAGTTGAAACTAGAAAAAAAATGAAGATAACTATTATGTATTCAATTTAGCTGTATGTTCTTATCCAGTATAATAGTTATACGTCACATTTAGTAACTCTTTTAACTGTTTTGTAATTAAGAACAAATCCCCAAATCTCTCTGTGTTTCTCCAGCCATCCAGGGACACCATTTTTATCCTTTTTTTTTTTTCTACAGGTATATCCCTTGTTATCATCCCTTAATGTATTACTACTTCATAATCAAATATAGCACATAAGTACATTAAGTGTCATAAAAGTCCATGTTGCACACAGACATATCATCAAACCATCCAGTGCAGCAGGTACAGACATACCTCTATGCTTAGCCAACATCAGCACATGCTTTAAATGTCCACTGCAATATTTTATTATTTTTTTTTGTGCAGGAAAAATGTAGTCAAAATATGCACTAAATTATGTCAGATAAAGGCAAATAAATACTAGTGTGGTTTTTGGGTTGTTTTTGTTGTTGTTGTGGGTTTGAGTTGGTTGGTTTTGAACTAAGGAACTGAAGAATTAGAGCAAATATTGAACTTCTTTATGATAGCTGCCACCAGCAGGCAGATTTTTAGAGTTGTCCCTGAGAAAACTACTGTACTTGTCTACATCCTCCATCAGTGTAAAACCCTCTGAAGAAACTGAAGTCTTTCTGATGAAGGCACATGTCCTTACATGTTCAGGCTATGAGTCCTAGTGTGACACCATCGTATGCTTTAAAATAACACGGCTTGACTCAGGGCAGTGGAGTTCCACATTCTTAAGTCTGATATGTCTATAGCCCTATTTTTATTTTTTCAATTTAGTTTTGTTTGTTTGTTTGTTTTTGGCAGACCGTTGGAAAGAGCTTGGAGTCTTATAGGGGAACTAGTTTGGTTTTTCAGGGTTCCAAATGCTCAGGGCTGCATTGGAAAATCATTTTGCCTAGATACATTGGATTGGAAAGATGTAGCTTTGTGTCCTCTAACATCCTCTAACATTTCTGACCATTAGAGGGAAAACAAAAACAAAACAAAACAAAAAACAGGAAACGAACTGTTCGAAAAGTAAAAATGTATTTGCAGAAAGATGAGTTAAATAAGCAGTACTATCTTAATTTCAAAGGTGTGGTGGAAAACAGTGTCCTTTCAAAACTAAATGTTCCAGGGTCGAATACAACAGGGGTGTGACGGGAGCTTTCATCAGATGCCAGTGTCAGGACAGGCAGAACCTGTTGACTAAATTAAATCTGTAGGAGCTATTGTTGACACCGGAGGTTCCTATTGTGTGAAATGATCGGGTGACAATTTTTGCTTGGTAACAAGTAGTTGTGACAATGCACATCCCTACTGTACATGCGCACTTGTACACATATGCTCACCTATGCATATATATCACTTAAGGTCAGGTGTGTGATTATGGAGGATTGAAAGATTCACTATTCTGCATGCTGTAAAAGCATCTGTACTTCAATTACACTGCTTGTTCCTGGGATTAGACTCCTCATTTTCATGAGACTCTCACTCAAGCAACGCATTCAAGACTGACCTTATTCATACTTCATCTATTTCCACACTCTGCACAAAGAAAATGAGGCCACTGTTCCTCTTATCATTACAGCCCCATTTCATGATTTTGTTTTCCTCTAAACTAATACAGTATCTTCCCTTCTAGCACATCTTCCTCTCAGCTCTCCCCTCTGTGTGCTGCCCAAATTCAAACAGCTAAGACATCGTTCCTCCTGTGCCTCCCTCTGACGCTTCATTAAATTTAAAATCCTGCTCTCGATTTGACGGCCATGTAACAGCTCTTCTCCAGGTTCTCCTGTGCTATTCAGTCATGTCTCTTACTACAGCTCTTGTAAAAATATATGATTTATTCTTTGACCATATCTAGTGAGCTGTGACTAAACAGAACTCCACAGAACCATTTGCCCTCTGTAACTGCAGACACTGGAGTCATGTTCCCACGGTCAGAACTCCCCATCTGAGCCAAAACAAAGCATTTAGGAAAAAAAGATGAGAATGTGATACAAACAACTAAGCTATCTATACTATCAACTGAATTTCTTAACAATTTTCAATACAGTCCTTGAGGTGCCTTGTGGACAACCAACCCTCAAACACTTCCCATCCTACCTCAGTACTATTAGGAGGGCATGCTCAGGCTCCTGTGTTTCAAGTAGCTGTCCATGTGCTGGAGGCCTTCTCTGGGTCTAAAATAAAATTACATTAAAATAAAATAAATAAAATAAAATAAAATAAAATAAAATAAAATAAAATAAAATAAAATAAAATAAAATAAAATAAAATAAAATAAAATAAAATAAAATAAAATAAAATAAAATAAAATAAAATAAAGCAGACCCTTCCTACCCCTCCATCTCACTAGTCAGTTCTGGGGACAGTGCTGCTTCTCCATCTGGAGTACAGCAACTCTACAGCACCCTGGCACAGAGACATGTAACACTATATTCATGCACGGACAGTGGCTCAGTGAATTCCAAGAGGTGCATGTGCATTTATTGGGCACTGGGAAAAGAGGGCTACAGCCATAAACATGATCTAGTACAATTTATATAGAGCCAAATTTCATGGCAAAGTCACAGCCAAACAGGTCTACAGCCCCTGTCTCCCATTACCACCAGGTTCAGGCTGAATTCACTGCTGCTGTAGTGGTAAAGTGCCATAATTTAATCAGAGATAAGCACAGTAGGAGTTCTGACTGCCACTATTTTAAATACGATTTTGTACACTGTTTTCCCTGTGTAATTAGGTTGAGAACCGTCAGAAGCACCTAATACCTATCCGAGGCTGCAGAGCGCTGCCAACAGCTTGACTCCCTGCCCACAGCAGTGTGGTTCATCAATAGGCAATAGACTTAGTGATGACGAGGGACAATAAACATGAGGTACATCATCTCTTGGTTAGCTGCAATATTTTCTAGTAAAGCTATTTTAGGGAAGTTAGAGCTAGCACATCTTTTTTTCAAACTTACATGAACGAAGGTATAATTACTTTGCAAAAGAGCACAATTTTCTGTTGCAATGATGAGGAACACCTCTGTGAGTTGACCTGTATTTCTGGCAAACACAGCAGTTCAACAGCTTTGCATAAGTTAATGTTTATTTGTCTATATAAAATATTCTAAGCCCATTATTTTAGACTCGTTAATCCTTCACTGTTACTCAAACATTACTTTCTTTCCATTTAACTTATTTTTGAAATTATTGTTACAAATTACGTCTTAATGTTTTTAAATAAATGCTCACCCAGTTTGCTAAACTGGTAGTGGAGCCAGAAAAGTGTGACCTCAGCTAATGAGCTTCAAGTTAATATCCTGCAGAAAGCATACAGAAGTTGTATAAACATACACTATAATTGCATGTGCAATCACAAACCTCCATTTTTTGTAGGAATTTGCTGCTCTCATAGCAGAGGTGGTAGAGAACACAGAAAGTGCTGGTGGTCAGCTGCAGCAGCTGAGATTTGCAGCACGATCTTTCTCAGTTGCAATGGTGGCAAGCTCTGACAAAGCAGAAGGACAGAGAGCATGGTTAACTATTGTCACTTGTTACAAAGGAAAAATTATTATACTTTTTTTTTTTCACTTGAAAGGAGAATCAGCCCATATTTTTCATTGTCAGTGTTATGTGACTGCCCTAGACTTCAGCAAGATTCTGTTAAACAAACACGTTAGCAATATCACATCAGAACTATCCCTTACAGACAGTTCTCTTACAGAGCCTTAACTCTTAAAAGGACAGTTCTTACAGAAGAACTTTTAAGTGGCCATATAGCATCAGTCCAAAGGTTCGTCTAATACATCATCCCATAGCCAGAAGCAGATGTCCATGAAAGAGCACAAGAATGGGAAAAAAATATATGATGCATTTTCTTAATACTCTCCCAGGCTTACTGCAGCCTTCTTTTGCCTGGCCCTGTTGGTAATTTGTTATTTTTTTATGAAGATTTAAGGATTTTACATTTCTTAAACACATTTGCTTTCACACTCGTGTTGAGGAGCAGGAATATACAATACTACCACTGATGCTGTTTAATGTTTTTTCATTTAATTTGTCTTGTGCAGAGTTAACATATGTTTAGGTGAGTCACTTTTGCATCATACTCAGCCATCAAGCTGAAGTTTCCATTCCTCTTCTAGACAGGCTGTTGTCATGAGCATTTTCTGATAGTACCACTCCTACAAATGCAGAATAGTGTGGAAACTTTACTTGGATAGCAAACATCAAGTAGGTAGAACTCAACCATAATGTTCTACATTATAATAATAATCTCTACAAGCAGTAGAGATTATTATACAAAATTAATAAAGGCATAGAAATGTTTCATGTGGTTCCCACTTATAAATCCTTATCTTATTAAGCATTTTAGATTTGAATACTCAAAAATGGTTAATAAAATACATAAAAAAATATATAAACTATTTAAAAATATTGTGCTTCATGCTTAGGTTAAGTAAATTATAGGATACAGTTATTTAAAAAGTTATTAGAGAGCAGACAAAGATTGGATATTGTTTTAAATCAAAGGATGCAGTATTATTCATCTAAGTTGCAATTTCAAACTTTGGGTTTTAAGAGAGAAGAGCCTGGAGCTTTGTTCCTTTCTTGTGTAATAAGTTATTTAAATCTATTGAAATAGATACCTCGCTATGCCAAGTAGTGTTACCAAGCAATCAAAATCTGGAAGCACACAAGTGTCATTGAGGACAAAACATATAGATCACGTATTCTGAAAAGTATGTTACCCTTTTGTGTCAAAAATATTATCCAGCAACTTTGTTCCAACTGGATTCCAACCAAAAAAACAAGACAAGTTGAAAATCAGTGGAGTTAAACCCCTTGGAGAGATGTAATACTGTGAGTATAATTGAAATGTTAATAATTATGCTCATGCTGATAATTACCAAGAATAGTTTGGTATAGTAGTTACAGAGCTCACCTTTAACCCTGGGTCTTGGATTTGATTTCTACCTGGGACTGTATGAAAAGAGTTCAATTATCTCCATCTCCCTTTTAGTGGATGGATTTTCCACCCCATTCACACTTCAGAAATAAACAAGAATAAAAATGGAGAGGGACAGAAAGAACATTTTACGGCCCCTAATTAGCTAATTAGTGTGAAGTTGTTGGTTTTTTTTTTTAATTAAATTTGACAGGAAATGTAATACAGTTTAGACCATTTGGGAAAGACACAAAATGACTGAAAAAATGCAAGCTGAGAACAAAGCTCTACTGAAGACCTTCCTCTACAGTTTATTTTCATATTTTGAGCATAACGTACAAAAATTACAGTGGTCTCGTAATGTAAAGATAATACACTTTGTTGCTGCGCAACAGCCTCATAGCTGCATACCCAACCTTGTCAACACGACACAAACACTTTAGCTTAACACTTATTTCTATTCAAGCTAATGCATAATAAGAAAAGGAATTAAATTACAGCTTATGCACAGGATTAACAGCAGAAGTTCGAACAAATACATCAAACCTACTCAATGTTTTGATGCTGGATTTTAACCAGCCCGATTACATTCATCTACATAGAGCTGAAACAAACTGTGAGAATACGTAGCTATCTATGCTATCTCTAACTTGAGGGTTTCAAAGGTTGTATGAAGTTCAGCCTACTTTGGAGTGTATCTCTTAGAACTGAAAACACCATGATAGTGTGAGCAAGTCAGCACCTGATGCCCCTGTGCAGATCTACAAGACACTATGCAGCCAGGAATTAAGAAAACTGAAAGGTGTGTTATCATACCAAGTGAAAACTCAGAGAGTTCTGCTGTGCTACACAAAGATTAAGGCCAACATTTACAAACAGTCATTGCTTACAAGATACTGTAATTAGTCTCCATCAGTTACTTACCATTTACTGTGGTAAATGCTGGCTTAATCTGTGAATTGTACAACTTTAAAAAAAAAAAAAAAAAGACAACAATCAACAACAACAAAACAACCAACCAACAAAATATAGTGGACACAAGCTGCATTCCTTAAGTATGTTAAGAGCAAACTAAATGGGCTTTTACTTCATTCTTATTTGGAAACAAAACCATCATTATCTGTACTCTTCTTTCTAAAGCATTATAGATATCAAGATAAAATAGGAAATGAAATGAAATCCAGGCATGATGAAGAAAATATATATTAGGAAATGTGTACTCTAGTAACTAAATACCACAACACTGGAAACTAAATACAGCCTATGCCTGAAAATGAATAGAAATTTCCCCTTGGGTTTATATAGCATTCAAAAGGAATTTGAAATCAAGTAGGCTAGGGACAACAACACAAGAGGATTCAGTTTAGCTTAGAACTGAAATATATGTGCCTTTGCATGGCAGTGGGCTTTGAAAAATTCAGTGCAATGGGATAAAATCTGCACAGGTAGAAGGAAAGGGAGCACAGCCCTCTTGTACCCGGAAAGTGCTCCAGTTACTGACAGGGCACACTACACGTTGCTCCAGTTCTGTCCTGCTTTCCCTGGCTTTTATTTGAAAATGCTTTGATTTCAAGTCAAATGGTTGGTACTGTGTCATTATACTTGTTTTGTCCCTTTTCCTTCAGCAAGGCAGAGAAATATAAGGGAAACAGGAGGGAACTAGGGCTATTGTAGAGGAGGGAACTAGGGCTATTGCAGTTCAAGCACAAGGCCAAAAATTTGTGAAATCAAGCTGCACTTGCTCTGTGAAGCACCTTAAGTGTTTTATTCCTCATACATGGCAGAGCCATGAATCTTTATTTCTCTCTGTGCTAAGACGACACCATCCACAATTGCAGAATTAGCCACAAGAGGATATTTATTAAGCCACACTAAAGTTTGCCCTCACAGTGCTAGCAGAGTACCTTGTGGATGAGCTATACTTCCATCTGGTAAACATGCAAATTGTCCTACATTTATCCCATCTGCAGTTTTAAATGCTACAGTTACAGCATATGAAATGCTCTGGGCATCACACAAAAGCCTCAGCAGGGATTTGAGAGCAGCAGCCCGCCACACGCCCCACTGCTAGCACCGATGGCACTGCACCCTGGCATATCTCACTTAGACTGTCTCAAGCCATCAGTAAGTATGTCAGAGTGCGTGCCATGATGTGTGGTGCTTATCTACACAAACTGCAAGAAGCAGTGTGCTTGGTGTGTCAGAGCTGTCCTACTTACCATAGCAGCAAATAAGATACTGATAGGAGGGTTGGCCCAAAGCCCAGTAAGGAATCCTGTCCTAAGCCTCACAGGAAAGGACAATATACATTACCCAAAACAGAGGAGAGCATTGGAAAGGCCTTGCCATGCATATTTCCATTATCTGTGAGAGATGTCATACACAGGTGCACAATGCTTCAGCATCATACACAGTTTATTCTCTGGCTGTATATCACCTGTGGTATTGCCACTCACTAAAATAGATAAATAAATAATTAAAAAATCCACAACCATCAACCAGGGTGTTACGGACATGGTTACCTATCAATTAAAATGTATTGTGAAATTTTTGAAGTGGTAAAAGGCATAAATCTACAGGGTAATGCAAGAGTCACAGGAAGGAATAGGGCAGGGAAGAAGAACAACCCCTGGCTTAACATAATCAAAGGCTTTGATATTAAATGTACAGGTGCTGCACTGCACCCACAGAGTTTCAAAACAGTGAATATAAGGTTTTTCTTCCCTGGGTTTTAAAACAGGAAAAATACTAAAACCCAAGTAAAAATGGGAAAATAGAGAATCCATTAAAGATATTCTCACAGTAGGGCACAATAGGCTTTCTATTTAGCAGCTCACAGCTAAGGCGTTTGCAAACTGTATAGTTATCAAGAAAATGATAGATGAAGGAATTTAAAATAGTAATTTCAAATAGGTATTTCTTTGGCCTTGCTCTACTTTATTTCACAAGAGGAGTTTACCTACAAAATGTTTAGACATCAAAGAATTCTGGCCTTGAAACTCCTCTCACACCTGCTTTATGCTGGTACCTCTTATGTCCATGATTTCTTTCAAAATATAAATAATTCCACTTCTTCATGGATAGCTTGACTTATTCGTGTCCCCAAATCCTCTGATTTCTAAAGAACGGAGATTGGTGCTATTGGTCATTCCATACGTACTCCATTTTTTCCCCGTATTAAAGGTCCTTCTTTTTGAATTAGAATTTCAGTACATGTGAGGACCTAAAGGAAATGCAACATTTCAAGTGTGGATGCATTAATGCTGTGTGTCTTGCAGACACTGTTACTTTGAATTTGTGTACTGCCTCACAATACATTCCACCACAAGTATCCTGGCCTTCACTCTGTAATTTCATACCCATTTATGTATATCCATATATTCATATAATTAAAACTCTACCCGTTCCTAAAGTTACTGGTATCTGAAGAGCTAATCCTCAGTTTGTATCCAACCTGTTTATCTGCTTTCACGTGTCATATATACAACTTTACACTTGCTGGAATTTAATATTATGTCAGATGCAATTTTTCACAGTCATATACTTTCCAAGCTTCCCGTTTTTCTCCTGACTTTGTCACAGTGAATGTGCAAATCTTGTGGTAATACTTCTGTTTTCTTTGCACTTAGTTTGCTGTTTCTGGATTAGCACATTGTCTCATATGTGCAGGCAACTCCAACATGAAATCTATTGCCTATTGCACACTTACACAGGGCTGACAAAGGTCTCGGACAGGTCACTTGCTCTGGGACCTGGCAATACAAGAGACGGGTGCCTGGGGCACTGGTATTCCTCACACCTTTTGTCCCATTTCTCCCAGCCTGTTTTGACAATTTCCAGGCTCTGTCAGTTGATTTCCTTATCGGAAAATGGAAAAAAAAAAATTGTGAAGAGACTGCAAACAGGCAAATACTTTGTTTGATCAGAGAAAAGCAGTCTTTGATATATGGTTATCCTTCATGGATTTCACATGTTTACGGAAACATTTGCACACACATACTAGCAATATGATTTATGCAACTCCTCTGTCTCCTTCTTTTCTTTAAAGTGCATTTTTTATATGGTATTTTCTACAGGCACGAACTGGTAATCAGACACCAGCTAAGCCAGGGCTTGTCACCACATCTGGCAGTGCTTCCCTCTGCCTGCCCTCTGCCAGCACCCAGCGCTGCAGCCAGCGGGTGCCAGCCAAGGAAGGCAGATTCCCAAGCATCGCGCTCCTCTCGCTGGGGCTCCTCTGCTTCACATCACCGCCCAGCTGCAGCACAGCACAGACCTGTTCTGCCTAGGACCAAACCAGCTGCATCGGGTACCACTCCTACTCGAAGCAGAAACAGCCTCCTTGTATATGGTAACTTTTCTTTTTTCTTCTTCTTCCAACTGTGTGCTTTTATGCTCTCTGTGAAACGACACAAACTTCCAATGCATTCCCTCTTCAGACAAATGCCATGTTCTTCCACCTTGATCAGCCTTTTCCTTGTGTGTAGATTATGGTTCACATTAAAATTGAACAGCAATACCTTACTACATTCACAGCACTGCCAAAAGGAAAAGAAATTTACCTTAACTTGTCCTTTATCATTCTGTGCAGACTCCATGCTGGTTCATTGGATGTTTTGGATTCTCTGACTGATTTCCTTTGGAAAATCACTGACCGTGATTTTTTAGACACCTGTTATTTTTCACCGTTTCTTTGTAAATAAGTAGGCCTTTTTTACACTAAAACATGTTAGCTTGGTTATAGAGCTTTTTTTCCCATTTTTCCACAAACACCGTTCTGTTGAAAATGGAGTCCTAGGGCACTGGTTCTCTGCTTGTCTTTGTAAATTGACTATGCTTTTTGTTGTTGATGTTGTTGCATGCCCTCCCTCTTCCCTCTGTCTTCTTCATATTTCTATGGCTAGAAGACAAAACTGAGCTGGTTATTGAGACAGTATCATTTATTTGTGTTCTTTAAGCAGGCTGCAGCAGAGCCAGAAGATAATGGGCACCTCATTTATTCAGGCTTTGAATGATCATATTTAATTCCCAGTGACAGCTGTCTTCACTGCATTAGCATTGCAAATCAGCTCTGTTTTGTAATGGCCTTCTATTGAACATGATTCAATTATGTGTGGTCCATAGTGAGGCAGGATACGGTCTTAGTATCTATAGCAATATTTCTGCAAGCTGCTGCTCTTTACACTGCTCACATTTAAGCTGTCTGTTTACCACAATGCTTTCCTTGAACTACACTGAACTCTCTTCATTTTGCAGCTAAATAAAGAAGAATGAATATAATTCGTAAAAGCAGTTATCTGGTCAGACATATTACATACCCCATCTTCTTTACACATGCCTGGAATCAGGAAACACTTGTTAAAATAATTGTTATTATACTTAAAACATTTATATTACAAAAGTCATTAAAGTGGATTTAAATGATTATAGTGTTAAATGGTACTAAGTACTAAAGCTCAAAGCTGGTTTGAAGAAAGATTATAATAACATTCCAAACAAGTAAATTTTCTTTTAATGTCAGAGCTTCCCAGGAAAAGGGCAGCAAGGCTTAACACCTATAAAGCAAGCTAAAAAACACAAAATTTTGAAAACATGGTTTCAAAAGCTTTGAAAAGTCCTATCTAATTTACTGTGAAATGGCTAAATCCTGCGCACCATATATTCCAGTCCTTCTGCATCTGGGGCTGACGTACAGATTACATTTCAGGCTAAGCTGCTAAGGGTCTGGATCACATCACTGTAGCTTAACAGGTCTGTCTACTTGTTATAACATAAAAAAAAAAAAAAAAAAAAAAAAAAAAACTTTCTAAATTCTGATTCCACTTGTAAGGCAAGTCCTCCTATTGTGTCAGGCAGCCTCAAAAATAAAAGCTTCCTCTGTACAAATCCTGCAAAAACTTGCTTCTTTTGGTGCAAGGCAAAGCACAGACCTTACCCTTTTCTTCAGGATTTCCACTCCTGTGATCT